TGGTGGTGGTGATGATAATGGTGGTGGTGGTGGTGATGATAATGGTGGTGTTGATGATATGGTGATGGTGGTGGTGATGATAATGGTGGTGGTGATGATAATGGTGGTGGTGATGATAATGGTGATGGTGGTGGTGATGATAATGGTGGTGGTGGTGGTGATGATAATGGTGGTGGTGATGATATGTTGATGGTGGTGGTGGTGATGATAATGATGGTGGTGATGATGTTGATGGTGGTGATGATAATGGTGGTTGTGATGACAATGGTGATGTGGTGGTGGTGATGATAATGGTGATGATGGTGGTGATGATAATGGTGGTGGTGGTGGTGATGATAATGGTGATGGTGATGACAATGGTGATGGTGGTGGTGGTGATGATAATGATGGTGGTGATGATAATGATGATGATGTTGATGGTGGTGATGATAATGGTGATGGTGGTGGTGATGGTAATGGTGATGGTGATGATAATGGTGATGGTGGTGGTGGTGATGATAATGATGGTGGTGATGATAATGATGATGATGTTGATGGTGGTGATGATAGTGGCGGTGATGATGTTAGTCACCATTTATTGAGCTTCTTCTATGTGCTATATGCTCTTTATCCATCACAATGCAATCCAATGTACCAAGCATACAAACTACACTAAACAAAACTGGTGAATTAATCTATCTAATAAAGCACTGCCATCGAGTGACTGCCTGCTTCATGAACCTACCCTGGCTCTCTGCCATACAGTCTTTTTCCAGGGGTTTCAAGCCCTTCTTGAGTGTCTCCACTTTTGAAAACCAACAGATGGCTTCCACTATTATACCACTATTTTTTTTTCTTTGTAATAGAATGATTTATTTATTATTTTTATTTTTTTCCCATTTATTTATTTTATTGCATTTTTAAGTGAAAAATAGATTCCCATTTTTCCCCATTGAGGGGTTCCAATGCTCTGCCAAGTCTCTTCACTGTCCCCCATCCTCATGCACATTCCAGCACAGAAACATAAGCCCAGATTCCCTGATCCTTCTTTCCCTGGAATGTCCTCCAACTGCCTCTACACCCACTCAAATCTTCCTCCTTCTCAGCCAGGTCCAGGGTCTCCCTAATTTGCCTCCATTTACTCACATTTTCAAGTTCCTCTTTGTGCCAAGCACCGTGCTGTACACTGAGATGCAAGCCTTGTAGCTCCTCTCTCAGATAACTTGTGACAGGGATGAGATTTACTCATCAATGAGAGTTCCCAGCATCCCTTCTCCCACTTCCAACCCACTCAGAACAACTTTTTCTGCCAGTTCAGATACTTCTCCTTCCTCACCTTCCAAAGAGAGTCTTTGCCAAGCTGTCTTCAGGGGTTTTGTAATGCAGAATTAAGAGAATGTATAGAGGAAAGAGAAGAGACAACAGAAGACACATGATTTTTAAAAAAAGTCATTAAGAGAGGCAAAAAAGACAAAGTAAGAGATGTGGGTTGGGTGTCGCTAAAGTTAGGGTTGTTATATTTGAAAAGCTTCAGAGCAGCCACAGCTATCAGGGATTCTTGGAGAAGAGAGAAATAAACTTCTGAAGAGTGTTGTTATAGGTTTAAAATTAGATCTTAAGCCCCAAGAAACATGTATAATTACTTTTGTTGTTAGATTTTGCTCTTTTGAATGCAACAGCATACAAAAACCTGAGCTATATGGCCTTCAGTTTATGTTTATGTTACAATTATATTTATCATCTAAACTGAGTTACTCTTGAGAATAAAAGGGGAAACTATTAACGATTATTATGGGATAACAGGCATAGACTGGGACTGTGCTGGGAAAACCAGGATATCCAGGCACCAGCTTATAATCATAATAAAATGTGGCAAGTAGAGGAGTGGACATGCCTAGGACATCTCTGAGGCTCAGAGAATAAGCATCTCACTCAGTGGGTGGTAAGAGAGATGAGAAAAAATTCTGGAAAAGAAAAATCTTTCCACTTCTATGGGCCTACAGTATGCTTTCTCTTTTCTAAATTGAACAAACTGTATCACCTGTTAAAAAACTACACTGTAACCTATCTCATGTTACCTGTTATTTTTTTCTAGAGTGTCGACAAAGGGTTAAAAAAAGGAAAACAACAGCCTTTTATAGAATCAAAAAGGAAAGAGCATCATTCTTTTATATCTCTCACAATGGTGGGCAGTGTGGGAGATACAAAAAAAAGCACAATAAATACATGTTGCTTGAGCAATTTTGTTCCCCTAAACCAACCAAAATACGCATCCATTTTCCAATTATTTTGTAATGGCCTTTGAGCAAATGCTCAGTAGTGGGGCAATAGTGTAATGTCAATACTTTCAGGCAAGCAGGAAAGCATTTCTGTTTTTGATTAATGCAGAGGAAAGTGAACTACAGTCTCATTTACCAGGCTTTGCCAACATCCCAAATCGTCACTTAACCGTCCAACACATTTATACACCTACGTTGCCAAGTAGAGGTAAACACTATTTGTCTTCAGCTGTGAAAAAGAAAAATGCTCATTACACTCACCATTGCTTTCCTCCCTCACCCCCAATGTGCTGCTCCAATATTTGTTGGCTTGAGTGAAGTATTTCCTACACTATTCTGTAATCAGCAGGGAGGGTCCAAGAGAAAACCCACGATATCTTTTGTTCAGTTACATTCACTGTGATGTGGAAGCTCAGAAAGCAGGAATTCCACGCTTAGCATCTCATCTGAGGCAGCAAATTTCTGGCTGGGGTGGGGAGAACCTTGCTGCAAAATGTTATCTTTGGACCCCCTAGAGTACAGATGGTGTGGTGAACACTGGGAAAGACCAATGAAGCGTGCTGTAGTAAGTGCCTAGACTTCAGACAGGAATGCTGCAGGCAGGGAAGGAAACTAACCTATGGTGACCCAAAACGAGTCTTTTGATTTAGATATCAAGCCAATCCTGACTTCTTGCCAATTGGGACAAGAATGTTCTCCAGTTCTGCTGAATCTGAGATAGAACCTCTGCTGATTGGTCAGCTTTGTTATAACATTGTTTATAACCTATTGCTTAAGACGTATTTCTGGGATGCGACCAGTTTTCCTGACAGCTGACATTTGTTTATTTACCTCTGCATATATATAATATGATATAACTTTGACATTATATTAAAGGAGGGAAGAAAGAAAAGGTGTTACATATGGTCAGGTTGAAAGGGCATTGTCAACAATTCATTGTATTTCATAGAATG